AAATAAAAACGTGGGGAGAATTGATATAATAAAAGGGCATTTCATTTTATGTAATTACTGGCAGCCTTGAGGAAGCAGCCCTCTGGGACCAGCTGGCTTGTTGACATTTCTCTTCCCATCCATTACGGACTGACTCTCCTGCCCACACACTCACTTGTACATGGCCTTATCACGACCATCTCAGAATGATAGCCTGAGACCCAGTCTATGTGGCTCTGGCTCTTCTTCCCACGATTAGTTTCCTCGTTCTAATTCCAAATTCCCAGGAGAGAGGAACACATTGCCTCAGCCGTGTTCTGGAGGTAGGGTTGGGAGTGGAGGGTTAGGATTAAATGGCACAAGGATGATGAGCAGGGCACGTTTTTAGAGAGGAAGTTATTGGCATCTCTTGTATACATCCTAATTTCTTTTCTTTTTTTTTGGTAAGTCCTCACCTGAGGATGTTTTTCCATTGATTTTTTTTTTTTTTAAGAGGGGGTAAAAGGGAGAAACATCCATGTGAGAGAGATATATCCACTGGTTGCCTCCCACTGATGGCCCAACGAACCCAAGGTGCCCTTGATTGGGAATCTAAGACCCTTCAGTCCGAGGGCCAACACTCTAACCACTGAACAATACTTTCCAGGGCAGTAATTTCATTTTTTTAAAAAAATATATAATGTGAATGTTTACAGAGTAAAGCAAGGGCTCTTCTTTTTAGTCTGACAATGTTTCCCTTATATGTGAATTATGTGAGCACGTCTCTCACAAAAGGAGAACATGCTGATTTCTAAGTAGAGCCCTCCTAAAGTGGATCTCTGTACTTAAGATTTTATTTTTTAAATTTTACATAAAATGTTATCAAGTGAAGACTTTTAATTCCACTTCATAAAAATTACACGTGACATTTATAAATAAAGTTTATTCATGTTACATAGACATTAAAACCTATTTCAGGAAAATCATTCTTCTTCTATGTACATTTATAGTATTGCTTATATAATTGTAAAATTTGAAATCCTCTTAGCATGCAGAATAGATTATGATATACTGAAGGATTAAGCTTCACTGTCTTGTGTCAGATTAATCCTTCATATATAGAGCAACACTTGAACTGACAGAAATATGGCTGCAATTCAGCAAAAAAGGCTCAATGGATAAATGATTTTATGCAGGATGAATGACATGCTTCTTGACTGGTTGATGTATACGTCTCCAAATTAAATTTAAATAAACATCATAAACTTCTTTTTCTCAGACTTTCATAGAGATTCGTGGGAAATGTGTCTGTCGATTTATGCGGTGAAATAGTGCCATTAAATATTGTTTGGATTCTTCCCCCTTTATTGGAGTAACTCACTTATTAAGAATACCTTTTATTTTATATAAAAATTTTTATATTATTTTAAACTTTAATTTACTTGTCAGACAAGTACAGATGATAAGAACATTGTCTACTTGCTTGTGAATATGTTTTGAGTGAAACAGGTAAACATTATACATGTATAGGTGAAAATGGAAATAGGGCATGGAAAATGAAGATGGCTGTTATTGCCCGGGTATTGTTTGCTGAAAATGTGGCAGCAGCTTCTTTATTGGCAGACGCAGCCTCTCCAATAATTTTTATATTTTCAGTCCAAACCTGTTCCTGAATCTGTGTAGCCATCGCTTCATTGCGGTAGAAATGCTCGATGTCATTTGTTGAGGGGGATCCCTTGCTGAAGTTTTCCTGTAAGAGGTTCAGTGTTTTCCAGTTTGACACTACCGTGAGCCTGTTCATGCCTTCTGTTCACAAACGTAATGCTTTTCCATCTTAACTAGGCACTTACCACGTACTGTGCCCCTAATATTTACAGCTTGAGGTGCAAAATAGCAAAGATTTCTTTTTCCCCCCTGGTTTCATGGATAGATTTATTCTTACCATCAATCTTAGCATCCTCAGCATATTCTCTCCCCCCCCCCCCCTTTTCTAAGTCAAGAACTTTCACGTTATCAGTTAAAGAAAGTGCTTTTCCGCATCTCTGCCTTCCTTTGGCATATCAGAAATGCCAGCATCATGACTCCTGAGCTTTGGGGCCATTATTAGTTAAAATAAGGGTTATTTGAACAAAAGCACTCTAGTAACTGCTAAGAGATTGGCTACTAAGAGATTAATGGGCGGGAAGTGTACAAGGTGGGGCAAAAGGAGGCTAGCAGTTGTTTGCACAGAAGATAATACTATATAATAAAAGGCTAATATGCAAATTGTCCTGTTGGTAGTTTGACCAAATGGGAGTTTGACCTCTTGCTATGACATGTGTTGACCATGAGAGGGCAGTGTGGAATTAAGGAAGGCCTTGGCCTGCAGTCAGCAGCCAGGGGAAGGCCCCAATCAGCCCTGATAACTGGCCAGTCTAGGGACCCTACCCATGCACAAATTTTGTACACTGGGCCTCTAGTAATCCTATCTAATAAAGAGGGAATATGCTAATTGACTGCCATGCCCTCAAAGATGGCAGCACCCACAGCCAATAAGGAGGGACTATGCTAATTGAATGCCATGCTCTTAAAGATGGCAGCTCCCACAGCCACAAGATGGCTGTGCCCAGTCTCTTCAGCCCCATTGGGGCACCTGTCTCTGGAATCCCCCACTCCACTAGCCAACCAGGGCCAGCCCAAGGTGCAGGTAAACCTTGGATGGTGGCTGCCCATCCGCTCAGGGCCACTTAAGGCTCAGGTAACCTCGGCCGGCAGAGGCAGCAGCAGAGATGTGATGGGGCATCACCTTCCCAATTGCCAGGTCACCTCCCACCCCTGAGGGCTCCCGGACTGTGAGAGGGAGCAGGTTATGCTGAGGGCCTCTAGTAAATAATACAAGAATAAACTCTGTGTTTTACGCACTCACAACTGTGAAACCACTTTGCCCTACCTTGCATATAGTAGGTTGTTGAATAACATTGTTCACTATCGTTTCATTATAATATTGATTAAGATGTGTAGGAACTTAACTCTTGTTTATATCAATAAGCCTATGGTAAAAGTGGTTTTGTTATATATTGTTTTGCTTAAAATTGCAGAAGCTATTGACATTGTTAGGTGAAGACTTACTATACAGCATGGTTACACCAGACCAGTGGTTGGCAAACTCATTAATCAACAGAGCCAAATATCAACAGTACAATGATTGCAATTTCTTTTGAGAGCCAATTTTTTAAAACTTCTTATAACGCCACTTCTTCAAAATAGACTTGTCCAGGCCGTAGTATTTTGTGGAAGAGCCACACTCAAGGGGCCAAAGAGCCGCATGTGGCTCGAGAGCCACAGTTTGCTGACCACGGCACTAGACAAAGGGATGATTCCAGGCGGACAGAGTAGGAGAGTGGGAGCATAATCTCAGTTTTGGTTATTTGTCTTATTAATGAACCAAAACCATTTCAGGTATTCCAAGCATAGTTTACTTCAGTAGCCATAGTTGATATGAATTACTGTGGAATTGTTTGGGGCCTGGGAATTTTGGCAAATAGTTGAAAAAGCTTGTGGATGTATTTCTTAAGGAGAAACGGTGACCTGTCAGTGCTAGTGCAGATCAACCTTGTATTCTTGTCTTTGCCACTATTCTCACTTCAGAGCTGTGGTAGCTCATTTGTAGTCCTGCCAGTTCCTAGCAGAACAGGAATATCATTTTAGCGGAATGTTTAATAAACACTCACAGGTTCCCTGCATTTGGAAAACACATTTATACACCATGTACATTGTGAAAGAAACTTGGTTTTCTATATTTTTGAGTTAATTTTTCCAGAGGCTTGGGAAGTGGAAAAATGGGAAATTTAGTTAATAATTAAGTTTTACTTAGTTTCACCCAGACAACTGGTAAACTTATTATATAGAAAATAGTTTTATTGATATTATATTAATATCTCATTTAAGTGTTTACTTTTTAGTATAGACTATGATCTACTCACATAGGACCTAGAAATGGCACTGAACTTTTTTTTATTAGACTCTTTTTTACTAGTTGAAGAAAACAGTAGCTAGAAAAACAAAAGGATATGATAGATCAAGAAATGTGGTTTGTATTTTTGGTTAATGATTATTTTCTAGAAAATCTGTAGAAAATGTTGCCATTTGACAAAAACCATATCTTAATACAATTTTTCTTTAAAAAATTAATTACCTTTTTAGTATGGCTCACGTACTAAATATTAAGACTTTTCCAGAGCAGTAGAAAACTGAAAAATGTAACTTGAGTTTCATCTTTTTTTTTTTTTTTTTTTTTTTGGTCACACCCTCAGGAAGAGATACAGATGAATAGGAAATAGGGAGAAAACCCTAAAGTCTATAAAGCCTTCAGTCTAATTAGCTTTTAACAATAGATTTCAATTAGAATTTGCTACATATACAATATTTGAAAAAGATGTTCATTATTATAGGTTATACTTGTAAAATATATGCTTTCTACTAATGAATGGATATCCAGAACTTTGAAAGGTCTGAGATGTTTACTCTGCTTGCAAGATAAGTTATCAAACTACAGTTTCATGCTGGCCTAACACCTGAGGCTCCTTGGTCAGAGATAAAGGACACTCCATTGCTCACGATAATAGTACCTAAGGTATCAGTGTTTTGGGGGGAGAGGGGACGCCCTGATTTCGTGGGCACCATTCCTATAGTGCCCTTGAGTGTGGCTCTTCCACAAAATACCGCGGCCTGGGCGAGTCTATTTTGAAGAAGTGGCGTTAGAAGAAGTTTAATTTTAAAAAAGTTGGCTCTCAAAAGAAATTTCAGTCGTTGTACTGATGCTATTTGGCTCTGTTAACTAATGAGTTTGTTGACCACTGCTATAGAGTGATGTAGAGGGGGCAGGTGCTGTCTTCGCACTCCGGGCTGTGTAAAGGACAGGTATTGTGGACCTGGCAGTGCCTATCTTTTATCACCGGGTAAGCTTGCCTGCCTTTTGCTCACCAGGGGACAGAACCTGTTCTAAGGGGAGCAGTAATTCAAGAAACCCATGGAAAACTTGTCTCCCAACAATGGGTCTGAGCTGAAATTTTTGCTTAATACTTTATTTGTGATGCAAATTAATGACGTAAACAAGATCACAAGAGCAAATGTTTAAAATACTTAGAAGAACTAACTTTAAATATTCTACTTTTGAAGTACCAATTAATGCATAATTTAAGAACTTTCCAACATTTTACATTGCTGAAAATAAGTAAAGCACCACAGCACTTTAATTAGGATCATTTGCCATTATGCTACATGTTTTTGAAGTGAATAAAACTTTATTTTGAAAACACTGAATTTAAATCTTAACTAATTTATACAGTCTTTCCTCTTTTTAATCCATACAGGGAGGTTTTTAGTAAGTAAAACACAAATTTCATATTATTTACACCAAACCAAAGTGAATCAATCTGAGAGAACCACCATCTCCAATTTCCTGAAAGCAAACAAATAAAAATAATTAAAATCATGTTTAAGCAGAGAGTAAAAGTGACTTAATACTTATATTTTAAATATTTTTACTTTTAATATTTAAAAACAGTGAAACAAAAGTATAAATGCATTATACATGCAAACAAGAGAACTGTATGTTTATCTTACTCTTAAAATTTTGACACAGCATTCGTAAAAATCAGTGAAAAGAAATAATATATGAGGCATGAAATGGCAAAGGAAGGATGGTTGTTGAAACTTGGACGATTCTGAAAGCTCCTACAATGAAAAGTTGCAAATTGTGGGTCCTCGTTTCTGATTCCGCCTATTTGGTTTTACAATATTATCTGTTCTGCAGGTCCTATATCGCATATATTTCTTGATTTTGGTGTTTTACCAAGTATTTAACAGTGGCTCTTGCGGTAACGGTTCATAGAGAAGATAATGGTTTTACAAGCCCTATATTAGATTTTACAAAGCTGCAAAGAGCTACTAACAAGAACCTCATCCTTTTCTTATTTCTTTTTCTTTCTCCCCCCAAAAAGGATTTTTAAATTTAATTTATTGATGTGATATCAATAAAGTTATGTAGGTTTCAAGTATACAGTTCTGTGATACATCACCTGTATGTTATATTGTGTTTTTACCATCCAAAGTCAGATCTTCTTCCCTCATCATATATTTGACCTCATTTACCCTTTACGACTCTCCCAGGCCTTTCCTTCTGGTAGCCACCAAATTGTTGTCTGTATCTGTGTTTTTGTTTTTATTGTTCATTTGTTGCTTCCAGTTTTATATCCCACATATGGTGGTTTTTTTTTTTTCTTGTCTGACTTATTTTGCTTAACATGCCATTATCAAAATCCATCCATGTTGTCACAACTGGCAGTATTTCATCTTTTCTTATGGCTGAATAGCATTCTACTTTATATATGTACCACATCTTCTTTATACAATCCTCTACAGAAGGACACTTCAGTTGTTTCCATGTCTTGACCACCATGAATAATGCTGCATTGAACAGAGATGCAGATAGCTTTGCAAATAAATGTTTTCAAAATTTGTAGGTAGATACCCGGAAGAAGGCTTGCTGGGTCATGTGGTAAGTGTATGCCTGATTTTTAAAGCATTTTCCATATTACTCTCCATAGTGGTTGTACCAGTTCACACTCCCACCAGCAGTGATTGATAGGATCATATGATATCCACAACCTCTCCAACACTTGTTATTAGTCTTGTTGATAATAGCCAGTCAAACAGGTATGAGGTGGTATCTCATTGTATTACCATAGACACCACAGACACCACTGAAAAACAAAGGATCACACTAGAGTACTATGAAAGATCGTATGTCACCAAACTCAATAACCTAGAAGAAATGGGTAACCCCTTAGAAATATATAACCTTCCTAGAACGAATTGAGAATAACTGGAAAATATATATAGACGGATCGACAGTGAGGAAATTGAAACAACCATCAAAAAAACCCTGAAAAAGTAAAAGTCCAGGACCAGATGGCTTCACTAGTGAATTCTACCTAATACCGTGTTTCCCCGAAAATAAGACATCCTCCGAAAATAAGACCTACTTACAGGTTTCCTTCTGAGTGAAATATAAGGCATCCCCCCTGAAAATAAGGCCCCCCTAGGAGTCACAAGAAATTCACCAGGAAATTCAGGAATTGGATTGTTATGATGATGTTCCAGAAGATGATGACATGATTGTCACAGAATAAATGAATAAATTCTTTTTTTGTTAAAATATATTTTATTGATTTTGTACAGAGAGGAAGGGAGAGAGATAGAGAGTTAGAAACATTGATGAGAGAGAGTCATCGATCAGCTGCCTCTTGCACACCCCCTACTGGGGATATGCCCGTAACCAAGGTACATGCCCTTGACCGGAATCGAACCCGAGACCCTTCAGTCCCCAAGCCGACGCTCTATCCATTGAGCCAAACCGGTCTCGGCCTAAATGAGTAAATTCTTGATACTGTAGGATTCACAGTTTGTCTGGCTTGTGTTGACAACTACCGTACTACCGTACCGTATACAGGTAATAAATTTCCTTTATTTTCATTTAACAATAAATGTGTACCGTATTCTTCTTCATGGAAAAATAAGACATCCCTTGAAAATAAGACAGCGCATCTTTGGGAGCAAAAATTAATATAAGACACTGTCTTATTTTTGGGAAAACAGGGTAGTCAAACAGATTTAGTATTGATAGTCTCAAACTCCTCCAAAAAATTGAAAAGGCAATATTTGCCTTCCTAACACATTTTATGAGGCCAATATAGTCCTGATACCAAAAACTTGGCAAGAATAACACAAAAAAAGAAAATATCTGATGAATACAGATGAAGAAATCACAAAATACTAGCAGATCAAATATAAAATACAATTAAAAGAATACATCATTATCTAGTGAGGTTCATTACAGTCACAAGGATAGTTCAATCTACGCAAATCGATCAATGTAATACACTACACACATTAACAAATAAAGGATAAACACCATCTGATTATATCAGTAGATGCAGAAAAAGCATTTGACAACATTCATTAAAACACTGAGTAAAAAAGACCATATACGACAGAGCTCCAGTTAATATACTAATGATGAAAAGCTGAAAGCTTTTCCTCTAAAATCAGGAACAAGACAAGGATATCTACTCTTATCATTGTTAATCAGCCTAATACCGGGAAGTCCTGGCCAGAGTCCTCAGTCAAGAGGAATAAATAAAAGGCATTCAATTTGGAAATGAAGTAAAAATGTCACTTTTTGCAGATGACATTATTCTTTATATAGAAAAACCTAAAGACTCCATCCCCAACAAGGATTTTATGACAGGAGTGGAGAAAGGCCCGATGCACAAAATTCGTGGAGGAGTAGGCCTTCCTTTCTCCAGCTGCCAGCACCAGCCTCCCTCTGCACCCAGGACCCGGGCTTCCTTCGCAGGCCTGGCTCTGTTCGGAAGAACATCCAGTCTAATTAGCATATTACACTTCTATTATTATAGATGATTATTATAGATTCTGAAACTGGAGGATGTAAGACTAACAGTGAGTGATATTATTTGAAAATAGCACAGTGGAGACATTTAAAATATATATATATATATATATATATATATATATATATATATATATATATATATATATATATATTATTGATTTAATAGAGAAAGGAAGAGGGAGAGAGAGAGAAACATCAATAGTGAGACAGAATCATTGATCAGTCTCCTGCACATCCCCCACCGTGGGGATTGACCCTACAACCTGGGCAGGAATTGAACCGTGATCTCCTGGTTCCCAGGTTAATGTTCAACCACTGAGCCATGCTGGCAGGGCACAGTGGAGACAGTTTTGGAAGTTTGGAGATGGCCTACTTAGAGTGGAAGAGGAAAAGGAGAAAGGTAAAGAAGAGTAGGGCTGAGGGTTGGACTTAAACTAAGTCCAATTTCATAATTGGAGACATTTTTCTTAAAGGTTATTTCTCAAGTTTTATCATCAAAGTTCTTTTTGCTGAGAAGCCTTTCAGAAAGACATTAAATTATAGTATTTCAAATAGTTGTACCTCAAAAAACCCCACAAAAAACAAGTGTGGCTGGCAAGTAAGGGAAACATATGTACACAAGAGCTTGTGGATCCTGATGTACAGAAGGAAAAAAACAAAAACCACACCTGGAGGATGAGTAACAAAAAGAATGAGTAATTTAATATTCCCTGGGGCTTCTGTGTGCGTGCTGGCTTTAGCTTTCAATTTTATTTTTTTAGCTTTCAATTTTAAAATAAAAAATTTTATAAGCACTGGTATTTATAAAAATACATAAGATCCAACTCATAGTTATAAGCTACTATACAAAAATGTATTTTTTTACACCACTCTGACAGTCATTGAGAAATGCGGGCTTAGCTTTTGGTCTTGTTCAGTAACTGGCAGAGATCCGAGGTAAATTATTTTCCTAAGAACTGGATGTAATTGTTGCTTAAAGCCAGGTTTTGCCTATCCGGGAAGTATTGTCTGTTTCAGCAGAATAAAGAATTCTTGATATTCTTTAGTGTCTTCCTTCTATCCAGGCCTTAATACCTCTCTTACGTTAGGAATTACATTTAAAAATGGTTAGAGCGTCGTCCCGATATATTAAGGTTGCAGGTTCAATCCTCGTTCAGGGAACATACCAGAATCAACCAATGAATGCATAAATAAGAGGAACAATAAATTGATATATCTCTCTCTTCTTTCTCCTCCTCCATCCCTCTCTCTAAAATCAATGAAAAAAAATAAGATTAAGAAAATTAAAATAAAATCCATCCTATTTTTAAAGAAGACTTCAGAGTATTTCTAGGTTTCCATGAAAGTCTGTTTCATGCTATAACACTGACCAATACTCTATGTACTTTATAGCAATTTTTGATGATCAATGAAATAATGTATACTCAATTAACAATTATTAACAATAAAGTATATTCATTAAATTTTGGGAAACGGAAAGATACAAAATTTATCCATAGTCACACCAGTCATATGAAAACTATGGTTTCATGTGTATTTGCTTCGTCTTTTTTTTTTCTCCATGTATACATTTTATTTGTTTTTAAAACAGCAGAAATCATATTGTATTTACAGTTCTCTGTATTTCTGGTTTACGTTTTTTGGCTTCACTTTATTCTTCAATGCTCCCACACAGTCTTTGTTTTTAATGCCTAAATGTTATTTCATTAAATACTATAGTGCTCTTTAATCCTTCCTTTTATTTTTATTAAACTTATACTGTTTCCATTTTCTTTTTTTTAATAAAACTATAAAAGACACTTAGGCATGAAGTGTCTTCTTTGTTTGGGAGTATTTCCTTGCTGTAGAGCTTTAGCAGTAGAATTAAAGGATAAAAATTTACGAAATTTTAGGCCCCTGGATGAACAGTATAGAAGTGGTAGTTTTGGTTTGTTTCTTTCCTAGTTCGGGAGGAGGAGATCATGTCTGGTAAAGGAAGTTGTAGTTTCAACAGTCTGCTTTTCATTTGATTGAGTTTTGAAACTGTGCTCACCCTGGACTGAAAGGCAACATGTTAATTCATGCAATAACTTCATACAACAAAAGGGTTTTCCCCAGTCCCTCCTTGGAGCTCTGAGTTTAGTTAAGTGTGTTTTCTGAGCCACATCCTGTTGCTGTTACCTAATGTTAGGCAATCCCAGGTCACCTTTCTTTTTAAATGTATACAAACTCTCATAAGCAAACTCTGCAGACAAGTGAAGGTTTGCTTTGCTACAAACTTGGATTTTGACCTGTTGCTCGTTTAATACAGATAGCTTTTATTTTAAAAAATGTAGAAATTGGCAAAAGACCTGAATAGGTACTTCTCCAGAGATGAAATACAGATGGCCAACAGACATATGAAAAGGTGCTCAACGTCATTAATCATCAGAGAGATGCAAATGAAAAGCACAATGAGATGTCACCTCACACCTGTCAGATAGGTATCATGAAGATATCAATAAACAAGTGTTGGCGAGGGTGTGGAGAAGAGAGCCCTGAGGATGTGAGAAAAGGGAGCCCTCATGCACTGTTGGTGGGAATGCAGACTGGTGCAGCCACTATGGAGAGCAGTATACCAGTGGAATTACCTTGAAAAATTAAAAAATGGAACTGCCTTATAACCCAGTGCTTCCACTTCTGGAATCTATCAAAAACCCCGAAATACTAATTTGAAAGACTATATGCACCCCTATGTTCGTTGCAGCATTATTTACAATAGCCAAGATGTGGAGCAGCCCAAATGCCCATCAGCAGATGCGTGGATAAAATGGTGGTTCATTTACACAATGGAATACTACTCAGCCATAAAGAAAGAAGGAAATCTTACCCTTTGAAATAGCCTGGATAGACCTGAAGAACATCATGCTTAGTGAAATACACACATCCGAGAACAAGTACCATATTATTTCACTTGTATGTGGAATGAACCATATAAACTAACAAAATAGAAACAAACTCAGAGAGAAAACAGACTGACAGCTGTCAGAGGGGAGGGGGTTGACAGCTGGTAAAAAACAGTGAAGGGATTAAACAAAAAGGAGCTATGTGAATAGGATTTTTGTCTTTTTCCCCCCAAAACCCTATTTGAGGACATGTTTAGTTTATTTTTCAGTTTTCTAACACAGCATTCTTGAGTGTGAATCAAGTGCAAGAAATGCTTCTAATTAGATAAATTTACTATTTGCATGTTTTTAAATATTAAGCCAGTAAGAACAATAATAATGTTTTGGAATTTATAAAATGCTTTCACATGACCTAATTTGACATATTCCTATGATATTACTAAATATAATTATTCCCATTTTACAGATAAGGAAGTAGGTATACAAAATGTGTGGCAGCCGAAACCAGTTTGGCTCAGTGGATAGAGAGTCAGCCTGCGGACCAAAAGGTCCCAGGTTTGATTCTGGTCAAGGGCATGTACCCTAGCAATCAAGGCACATGCCCTTGATCGGAATCGAACCCGGGACCCTTCAGTCCCCAAGCTGACGCTCTATCCATTGAGCCAAACTAGTCTCGGCCAAACCTTTCATTTTTAAACTTAATCCTGGATAATTTCAAACTTATACCAAAGTATAGAGAATGGTGTATGTAAACTGCTATATATGTAAACTGCTATATTACTCATCACCCACTTTCATCAATTATCTCATATACTTAAATTCACTTATACACCTCCTCCTTTCTTCTCACGAGTTATTTTGAGGCAAATTTCAGACATATAATTTCATTTGTACATAATCAATGTACACAATTTTATGTTTCAGAAATAAATATTTTAGTAATCACAACTTTGAAATACGGAAAATCTGAATAGTGTTCTAGAAAGATGCTTCCATTTTAATGTATACCAGTAGGCAGTTTTCTAAGTTCAAAACAATTACATACAGCCCTAGCTGGTTTGGCTCAGTGTATAGAGCATTGGCCTGAAGACTGGAGGGTCCTGGGTTTGATTCCGGTGAAGGGCACATGCCTAGGTTACAGGCTTGATCCCCAATAAGGAGGGCATGCAGGAGGCAGCAAATCAATAATTATCTCTCATCATTGATGTTTCTCTCCCTCTCCCTTCCTCTCAGAAATGAATAAAAACATATTAAAAAACAATAATTACAGTATGCTTTTCTCTTGGAATTTAATTCTTATAAGAAACAGCAATAGAAAGTGTTTTACCTGCCCTATGCAGTCTTCTCTTATTTCTCCTTCTAAAGTAAAAGATCACAACATTAATTATCTTAAAACCTAATAATGGACCTTAACAATATTTTTAATAAAATCTTTTAACACCCTCACTAAACAGAGAAATACTTAAAACAATCATAATGTAAACACATTAAAATACTAAAAACTCGCAGAAAGCAATAATCAATCTTCATAATAGTAATCAAGTAACAATTATTCTCCTACATACATGTTATGGCCAATATCTACAGCCTGTATTGTGCTTTTTCTCATTAAAATGGTGCCTTAAAACTCGCATAACAAGTAAGTTTCATCTCCGTGCCAATTCTGGTTGGTTAGTGGTGGTCATCCAGGGAACTGTGGAACTGTGTTGAGAAGTTTTAAGAGGGTTAATTGTTATTTTGTTTAGTGGAAAAGAATACTATGTTTGATTAATGGGGATGTGTTCTCAAAGCAGTAATATACCTATTGACCCTGGCCTAGTACATTAAAATGATGCTTTTAAAAGAGACGTCCTTACTTAAATTTATGTCATTAGGCTAAGAGAAAAGAACTGTAATTATAGCCTCAATCTAATGTCTCACTATGGATGGACATCAGGCAGACATCCATGTACATGGTCTCATTCTTGAAACCAGTAACTTCTGGTATTTATAAGTCCCAGTATAGTGCTCAGTGAGTGCATGCATGCACCACCCATTTGGCACTGTGCTTACGTTAACTTGTAAGTTTTCTAAAGCTCATCAGCAGCATTTTATTCCTCCTCGTAGTCCTAGCACCAGGAAGTGCCTTGATGATGATCACATTTCTGTAATAGTGTGCATCTTCTCTAAGTTGTCTACCTGTGTTCTCTCTTAACTGACTAGCTTCTTTACATGATTTTTCTGAATTCTTTGTCAAGCAGTTCATGGATCCCTTTCTGTAGGGTCGCTTACTAGAACTTTATTAATTTCCTTTGACAATGTTATATTTGCCTGAATTTTTGCGATGCTTATAGTCTTGCAGTGGTGTCTGTGAATTTGAAGGAGCAGGAGCCTCTTCTGTTCTTTACAGATTATTTTTGTCAGGTAAGACCTGCTGCTGCCAGGCAACCAGACGGACGGGTTTGCCTCCGGGATGGCGGCTGAGCAGGGCCAGGGCCAGGCCAGGAGGCTGCTTCCGGTCTCACAGTCACATCCCTGGTGGGGTGGCCTGTTACCTGTGCCGGTGTATCTCGTGCCAGGTCCCCAGGTGACTGGGGCTACGTCTGGGTCCATGCTAGCAGGCTCATCACTTGGGGTGCAGATCAGCATGTCTCTTCCCTTGATGAGACTACCTCTGAGATGGAGCAATTGGAGCTGGTCATAGGGTTGCTTCCAGGTCCAAAGTTGGTCTGCAGATAGTGGACCTGTTATGGGGGTCATACATGATGTGGTTCCTGCCAGCTCCATGGGGCTGGTAGTATGACCATGAGTGAGAGGGGCTGGAGCCATGATCCCAGGGGGACAGAGCTGTTCCTGGGTCTGCAGTCAGATCTGTATTCATCAGGCCTGCTACCGGGGTGTGGGTGTGCCTTGGTCTTGGGCTTCACTAGGGTTTGCAACTTCCTACTTGGATTTTGAAGGTCTTGGAGTGGCCTTTTTGTTCATGGATGTTTGCCAGCGTAGTGTTTCTGTGTGGGGGAACAGGGGTCTCATATTCTGTTATGTTGCTAGTAACCATCAACTTTCAATTTCAACTTTAGTGCTGGCCTTGTTGTATACAATTAACTTTGCTTAAAATTCAAGGGAAAACAAACTTAAGAGGGAAAATATAATTTTTTTTTCCTACTGAGAATCCCATATCTTTAAACCATTGATAGAAAAAAAATCACTTTAAATTATTTACTCAAGGGCCCATCTTTTATGAGAATCATTCCATTGAAATTGTGACTTCATAGGTGACAACAACTGAAGAGTTTGAGTGACAGTATTTTGAGTCAGAGATGGGACTGTATATTAAACAGTCGTTGTGACATATAGTAACTACCTTTGTCTCTTCACTGCCAGTCATCTCTGTGTTTTCATAGTATCTCATGCAATTTCTTTTGCATATTGAAACTGTACTTTGCGGGCCACCAACTCAGCTTGACTGGAGGTGATTACTTTGTTACTTTTTCATTTTTTATTTGGTACCAGTTTTAGGGAGTACATTACATGACTGCCTATGTTATGACTAGAGACCTAGTGCACAAAATTTGTGCACTGGGGGGGGGGTGTTCCTCAGCTCGGATTGTGAGAGGGCGCAGGCCACACCAAGGGACTCCGCTGGTGCATGATTGAGGCCAGGGAGGAACGTGGGAGGTTGGCAGGGCATGTCCAGCCCATCTCGCTCAGTCCAGATCAGCTGGAACCCAGCAGCAAGCTAACCTACCGGTTGGAGCATCTGCCCCCTGGTGGTCAGTGCACATCATAGTGAGAGATTGAGCAGACTTAGCATATAATTAGCCTATTACACTTTGGTTGAATGGCTGATCGGACGACCAGACACTTAGCATATTAGGCTTTTACTATATAGGACTAGTGGCCCGGTGAACGAAACTCGTGCATGGGGGGGGCAGGTTGTCCCTCAGCCTGGCCTGCACCCTCTCCAATCTGGGACCCTTGGGGGGATGTCCAACTGCCAGTTTAGGCCCTATCCAACCAGCAGTCGAACATCCCTCTCACAGCCCAGGACTGCTGGCTCCTAACCACTTACCTGCCTGCCTGATCACCAACCACTCTGCCTGCTGGTCTGATCAACCCTAACTGGCCCCCCCATCCCCTTTCTGGACTGATCACCCCTAACTGCCACTCTCCCCTGCTGGCCTGATCACCCCTAACCACCTCTGCCTCGTCCCCACCACTATGGCTTTGTCCAGAAGGTCTCCTGGTCTAATTAGTATCGATACTATGTATATTTCTCTCCTATAGAATTGGGCAAAAATCAGGTCACTTTTCTCAGTGACCTTCAGAGCCTGGTTTCTCAATGTAATCTCCAGGCCATACATCACTTGAGAGCTTGTAGAAAGTCAGAATTATGGGCTCCCCCCGTCCCCCAAGGGCTAGTGAATGAGAATTAATATCATAGTAAGAGCCTCGCATTTATTTGTATGTTCACTAAAATTAAATTTTTGTTATAAGCAGGTATTTTGCATTATACCAACCAAGTCCCAACTTATAACAAACCAACTAGAAATATCCAGGGCTTTCTTATTTTTACTCATTTACTGAAAGCTCTCGCAGGTGTAATCCCGCTTTTCTGTTACACTTTTAAATGCTCTGGGTTCCGTGAATTCCATTACCTCTCTTAAAACAGGCCTTATCCGGGAAAGCTTCAGCACAGGCGTCTTTGTCAAGCTCATTCCTTCTGTCAAATACTTGTCTGTTGTGTAGTTTTGTTTTTTTTTTAATTGGTAAAGGGTAAAAAAGAAAATGATATAGTTAAATATGTTACAGATTTTTAAATATTAAATATTTTCAAACTTCAGAAGTCTAAAAAAATGTAATTAAAAATTTCCTTGGAACATTTCAATGATGTAATAATTTAAATACCATAATGTTAATAACTGATCTTAATTTTCCCACCACTGAGTATTTTATAGGACATTTTGAAGAGTATTAAGTCCAACTTTAATATACAAATATTTTATGCATAATTTTCAAGAATGTCATATAATTTGAATCACACATTATAATGTTTGTGACTAGCTTCTGTCACTGCCCTTATATTCGTCCAAGATGTTACATGTGTTAATAGTTTGTTACTTTTTATTGCTGAGTAATACTTTATTGTGTATAAATGAATCGGTTTGTTTATTCACCTATTGAAGAATATTTATTTGCCCAGGTTTTGGCAATTATGAGTAAAATCGCTATAAACATTCATGTACAGGTTTTCATCTGACATGAATATTTGCTCTACAGAAATTAAAACTCAAGAATAGAGATGATACCTTATGTTTAACTTTGTAGGAAACTGCTCAGTTCTTTTCTACCATGGCTGCTCCGTGCTATGTTCTCACCAGCAAAGTCTGAGAGTCCCAGTTGCTCGGTGCTTTGCATTGTCAGTATGATTTTATTGTACACATTTTGATAGGTACGCGGGGGTATCTCATTATGGTTTTAATTTTGCATTTCTCTCACGGCTAATTTTGCATATTTTTTCATGTGCTTATTTGCCATCCATATATCTCCTTATCAAAGTGTTCAAATTCTTTTGCCCATTTTAATTGTGGTGTATTTTGTTTTTTTTTTGTCTTATTGAGTTTTCAGAGTACTTTATACATTCTGGACACAAATACTTGATCTGTTATATGATTTGCAGATATTTTTCCTCACATGTAGCTTGTCTTTTCATACTCTTAACAGTGTCCTTTGAAGAGCAAAAATTGGTAAAATCCACCTTGCCAGGTTTGTTTTATCCTCGGCCAAGGATATGTTTACTGATTTTAGAGAGGGGAAGACAGGGAGGAGGGGAGAGTGAGAGACAAATGCTGGCAATTGTCTCCCCTATGTGCCTCAACTGGGGACGGACCCATAACCTAGGTATGTGCCTTGATTCCTATCCCTCAACCCTTTGGTGCACCAGATGATGCTCCAACCAACTGAGCCGCCTGGCCAGGGCCTTTTACCAGTTTTTTAAATGGTGTCAAATCTAAGAATTCTTTGACTACTTCCAGATCAGGAAGATTGCTTCCTATGTCTCCCCTCCCCCCTAAAAGTTTTACATTTTCTATTTCTATCTGTGATCCATTTGAGTTAAATTCTTTAAAAAAAAATATATTTTATTAATTTTTTACAGAGAGGAAGAGAGAGGGATAGAGAGTTAGAAACATCGATGAGAGAGAATCATCGATCAGCTGCCTCTTGCACACCCCCTACTGGGGATGTGCCTGCAACCAAGGTACATGCCCTTGACTGGAATCGAACCCAGGACCCTTCAGTCCACAGGCCAACGCTCTGTCCACTGAGCCAAACCGGTCTCGGCTGAGTTAAATTCTTGAATAGGGTGTTAGGTTCTTGCCATACAGATTTTGAACATGTTTTGTTAGATTTGTTACCTAAGTATTTGCTTTGTTTTGGAGCTATTGCAAAATGGAAAATTTTCATTTTCAATTGTTCTTTACTAGAATTCAAAAAATATAGTTGACATTTGTGTGTAGGCTGTGTATCTTGTGACCTTACAAACTTACTTATTAGCTATATGAGTTTTTTTGTAGCTTCCATGGGATTTTCACATAGACAGTCACATTGTTTGCAAATAGGGATGGTCTTAACTCTTCTTGACCAAGCTGTATTTTTTTTTCTTTCTTTTCTTGACTCATTTCACTGGCTAAGACTTTCAGCACAAGATTGGTGAGAGTGGACAACTTTGTTGTATGCCCAGCCATGTTCCCAATCTTAGGGAGAAAACAGTCTTTCTCTGCCAGGTATGTTGCTAGCTGTAGTATGTTTTATCCTTTTTTTTTTTTTTTTTTTTTTTAAAGCTGTTCTGTAGATTGAGGAAGCTCCCTGTTATTCCTTGTTTTCTGGAAAAAATTATTTTTTAAATTATGAATAGGTATTCAATTTGGTCAAGTGTTCTTTTGTGCACTAGTTGACTTAATCAACTAAATTTTCTTTAAATTGTCAGTATAGTAGTGAATTTCATTGATTTTTGAATACTAAATGAACCTTGCAGAGAAACCCCAATTACTCACAGTATATATATATTTTTTTGATATATTAATGAATTTGTCTCTGGGAAGGGACATGCAATGCTTGGTGTACCTTAAAGCACAGGTAACGGGCCAATAGGTTGGTCTATAGAGAAAAAGCATTATAAGGTTGAGTCAGGGCTTTTCAGGCCCCATTTAGGGAATTTTTCTGCAGATCTGCCATATCTGCAGAATGCAATTCAGCAACCCTGTCCAGCTCTGTATTCAGTTGTACATGAAATAGCAAAACCAAAGCCTATTATTTAGTTACTAGAGGCCTGATGAACAAATTTCATGCAAGTGTCTTTTTTATTTTTTAATATGTTTGTATTGATTTTAGAGAGAAAGGGGAAGGGAAAGAGAGATAGAAACATCTATGAGAGAGAAACAGTGATTGCCTGGGGACTACTGGGGATATAACTCACAACCCAGGCAAGTGCCTTGATGGGGAACGGAACCAGTTGCTCAACCACTGGGCCACACCAGCTGAGTCATGAAACAAATTTTTTGTTTTGTGCAAAATTTTCAGTTGTTTTGAAATATGTCTGCATTATATGTTGGTTGTTTACATAGCTGACAATCAGTGAAAGCATTGGTGAATTAACAATTAATAGGTGAAGAGAAATGCTAGTCTTCAATGGGAGTATGGACTAAGTTTACAAGTAGTTTTTTTTAAAAAAATCTTTACTGTTGAAAGTATTACAGATGGCCCCTTCTTTCCCCCATTGACACCGTCAAGCCTGCACCCGCCCCACCCCGGCCTTCACCACACTATTGTCTGTGTCCATGGGTTATGCATATATACATGTAAATTCTTTGATTAATCTATTCTCATTCACCCAACCACCCACCCCTGCCTTCCCTCTGAGATTCAACATTCTCCAGGTAAAATAGTTCACATTATGAGGACTTTAACCACAGTTTTAGATAATAAGGATGTTCTATTGCTTAAATTTTATGATATTTTCAATGCAAAGATATGAAGTTTGAATGCTCTAAGTTTTATGGAAGAAAAATACTAGGCAAATAGCACATATCACATGAAGTCCACTAACAAAGGATATAGATTTCAAAATATATAACATTAACAAGGCTTTGTACATGAAATTATACTTCCATGTTTTTCATTTGGCTTAGTTAAAAAAAGAGTACATTCCAGACCCAAACACTGACAGGATATATACATTTCGGAGTTTTGGATTTTCTAAGTACTGGAGAACTTCCATGTCACGGGAGAGCTATGAGTCTCCTGTGTCTCAGAGCTTTTCTTGAGACACATTAAAGGAACAGCAACATGTAACTTCTCTTCACCATAGGATTTACTTAGTGGGCCAGAAAACAAAAATAAGAAAATTCATAGGAGACCAAATTAGGCTGAGAGGAAATGGAAAACTTCTTTTTGTTTTTCAGCTCGCATTTTCTTTCTCACATGATCTTGATCAGCTTTCTGAAACATAGAAGTTCAGTGAAAACCTGTAAACATATCTAGGCTGTCAAATTGTATTTTGACTTTATTTTCATTTGGATGCCCTTGTGATTTATTTTTCATTTCTGATGTAATACTGTCTTCTTCTTCCTTTTCTTTCTTGAGTTCAATGAACTTCATTGCTTCCTCCCTCCCACCATCCACATCCTTCTCCTCCTCTTAGTTTTTTGTCTTCTAATTCAGAGGCATTTCCATGTACCGAGTTGCTTGTTACATTTAATTTTGCCTCCAGTGTTGCAGTATTTTCCTACTTCATGGTGGTTGTTTTTTGGAGGTGGGGGTAGAATTTTCCTCAATTGATATGTGTAGGTTTTCATTTTCTGTTCCTTTGTAGTAACTTTGTATGGAACTGTTCATCTTTCTACTGTTTATTTATTATCTAAACTTTTACATATGTCTCCTTTTTCCCTGATTGACCCTCCCCCCTCCCCTCAGCCTTTCCCACCCTGGGCATGCCCCCACCGCCCCAGTGTCTGTGTCCATTGGTTATGCTAATATGCATGCATACAAGTCCTTTGGTTGTTCTCCCCCCCCTCCCCGTCCCCCTTCCCTGCCATTTGGCTGTGGATCTATTCGTGTTCATCAAATTATGTTTATCATTATATCCCACATATGAGTGAGATCATGTGATATTTATCTTTCTCTGACTGGATTTTTGTGATATTATGATGTATTTTGTGATACTGGTTTAGTACAGCCTTCCATAAAGCAAAGTCTAGGCTCTTGTTGGTGTAAAGATATAAATAAATGGAACAGAATGGCGGATCCAGAAGCTGTTCCACTTATGGGCCAATTGATTTTTTGACAAAGATGCCACAGCAATGTAGGGGGGGGGGAATGAGTTTTCCTGGGAAAACTGGATTTCCTGAACAAAATAATGAACTTAGATGCTTATATCACATTACTCACAAAAATGAACTCAAAATAGACTCAAACTACTAAAACTTCTAGGAGAAAACAAGAGACAAATTTTGTGTCTTTAGGTTAGAAAAAGAATATTTATATATAACACAAAAAAGTACAACCAATGAAAGAAAAAACAGCTAAAGTGGGCTTTGACAAAATAAAAATTTGCATGTCAAAAGGCACTGTTAGAAATAAAGAGGCAAGCCATAGCCTGGGAGAAATTATTTACAAATTGTAAATCTGATAAAGGACTTATGTTCAGAATATATAAGGAACTCATAATTGAATAAGAAGACAACTCAATAAAAAATAGACAAAAGTTTTGAATACTTCACTGAAGAAGATATACTAATGGCTAATCATCACATAAAAATGCTCAATATCATCAGTCATTCGGGAAATACAATTAAAATCGTAAAGAGATACCACTCCACACCAACTAGAATGGTTATAAAAGACTGACGATGCCAAACAAGGTGAGGATGGAAAGAAACTGGAGCCCGCATACACTGTTGGTGGGCATGTAAAATGATACAATCACTTTGGAAAGACAATTAGAAAATTTCTTAAAACTAACAATATAAACTTACAACATAACCCAGCATTTTCACTCTTAGATATCTGTCAAAGGGAAACAAAACATAAAACTATACAAACACTTATATGTGAATAGTTATAGCAACATTATCCATAATAGCCAAAACCTGGAAATAATTCAAATATCAATCAGCTGATTAGTGGGTATACAAAATGTGTTATACCAATGCAGTATCATACTATTCAGCAATTAAAAAGGAATATGCTACATGATGTGACATGCATAAACCTCCAAAATATAATGATAAGTGAAAGAAGCCTGACACACACACATCCAAAATTGTGGACTCCATTTATATAAAATTTCTAGATTGTATGATTTTTCATTTATATAAAATTTCTCTAAGACAGAAAGCATATCAATGGCTGTCTTGGCTGGAGATGTGAGTGAGAATTGATTAGAAATTGGCACCAGGGAACTACGTAAATGGGGGGATGGAAATGTTCTAAAACCATACTATGGTAGTAGTTGCAAATTTTATAAATTTACCATTCATCACTGAATTGTATAATTAAAATGGGTAAATTTTATGGTATCTGTAAATTATACCTCAGTAAAATTGTTTTTTTTAAAATTACTTTTAAATTTAGAAGAGCACACCAATTTAAAAAAAATATATATATATTTTATTGATTTTTTACAGAGAGGAAGGGAGAGAGATTGAGAGCTAGAAACGTCGATGAGAGAGAAACATCGACCAGCTGCCTCTTGCACACCCCCCACGGGGGATGTGCCCGCAACCAAGGTACATGCCCTTGACCAGAATCGAACCCGGGACCTTTCAGTCCGCAGACCGACGCTCTACCACTGAGCCAAACCGGTTTCGGCAAAATTGTTTTTTTTTATTTTTTAAGTAAATTGGGGAAGGACTTCCAGGTAGCTGAATATATTAACAGTGGCTGCCTTCCTTTTCATCTCCCAATACTTCCTCTAATAAACAGTATAAAGCAATATATAAACAGTACAAAACAGACTAAAGGGAGAAGTGAAACTTCATGAAAACCACACTTCTGTCATGACTTGAAGATAGGATGTCAAAAATTCAAAATAATTGTAAATAGAATGGAATAAAACACCAAAGCCCAGTGTCTGATCTCTCCAATTCCTGGTGTTCTTGCTGATCAGAGCATGGACTGCATGAAAGGCCTAATATTAAAAGTACCCTCCAATTCAAAGGGACAAGTTTTTAGTTTCTGCTGAGGGGAGATAGGTGGGTGATCAAAGGCAAAAAGAGAGAGGCACCTTTGATGATGGACTAAAAGGTCCCGGGTTCGATTCCGGTCAAGGGCATGTACCTTGGTTGCGGGCACATCCGCGTGGGGGTGTGAAGGAGGAAAGAAGTATAAGGGAAATTTTAGGGTTCTGCAAGACGGAGAGCCACAAAGGGAGGTCACACAGCTCTATCAGGAACGTGCAGAGTTTAATTAGCTTCTCTTTGGTTCTCTCATTCCCAGCATCTTCCTGTTCAGTTTCTGGCACTTGACCTAATAAGTAGAACTGTGGCCTTCCCTGTTCATTAATTATCAAGTTTGTTACTTTTGCCCTCGCTGGTTTGGCTCAGTGGTAGAGCATTGGCCTATGGACTGAAGGGTCCTGGGTTCTATTCCATTCAAGGGCATATGCCTGGGTTGCAGGCTCGATCTCCAGTAGGTGGGCGTGCAGGAGGCGGCCGATCAATGATTCTCTCTCATCATTGATGTTTTTATATATCTCGCTTCCCTTCCTCTCTGAAACACACACACACACACACACACACACACACACACACACACACACACACATATATATATATATATATATATATATATATATATATATATATATATATATATATATATAAATAAACTCCAAGTCAAGTAAACTATTGGTTTTCACAAAGCCTGTCATTCTTTACAAAAACTATAAGTTTTGAACTAGCTTTGGGTGGTGGGAGGATGGGCGCAGTCTCCTAGAACACCACAGGTTGCTGTATATTGTGTATTTCATATGATATAGACCCCATATTGATATCCATCACATATGATATATATGAAAAATGTGGTCTTTTTATAATTATTGCATAGAGTTGGGATCTTTTAGGGCAGCTGTATAAATTACAGACCAAACTACTATAATTCCTGCTCACTTCCTGCTTTGTAAATAGTTTTACTGTAACAGCCAATCTCATATATATATATATATATATATATATATATATATATATATATATATATATATATTTGTGTGTGTGTGTGTGGCAGTTACAAGTAGTTGTGAGAGTTTATATGGCCTTCAAACATGATATATTGTCTTTTACACAAAAAGTTTGCTGACCTTTGCTTCAGAGTATGGTCATCATCATCAAATTATTTTCATTATAAGTAACATTATTACTTTATGTAGTGTTTTTAATTTCACATTTATCCTTATGTTTATTTTCTTAATAACCTAATGTAGCAAGCTGAATAGATATTAAATTACCATCAGATTTCAAAAACTAATGGCTAGCTTGCATAAGCATAACATACAAATTATAATTTAAATTAAGTATTCAAAATTAATATCTTAATCTAATAATCTAACAATCCTAAAATTTAACAACAGAATTCAAACAATTCAATACATTAATTTTATTTTGGCTTTAAATAACGTTAATTCTAACAATATCTTTTCTACATTCACTTTTGCCTCCATCTTGCCTGCTCTTGCATGACCAAAATACGGCAAAATCTTAGATGTGAGAAAATGCACATTTTTCTCTTTAACATCTGAAATTTCATTTCTTAAGTCTTAGTTTGCATTTAAGCAGGGAATGTTTAAATTGTTTCATACTAAATACTTTATGAAGCAATTTTCTTAGTTCAACATATTTTACCTGCTAGAGGAGACATTCAGTGTTCTTTGTTGATTAATATGTCTGTGGACTGAACAAAAGGGAGGGAGTTTTTCTGGAAATGTGTCGTCTTCTTGATGTGTTAAAGACAGGCCAACAAATGCTTCATTTAGCAGGTCCCCTCTGTCTAAAGGTCCCAGGAGTTCTGTTAAGAAATGATAAGACATGAGTCAAATACAGATACAGTTGCTGTTAACCCCCTTATGAATATGATTACAGGAAAGCTTTTATATGCCCTAATGAAACGTTAAAAATTTTTTTTTTAAATTGACAATTTACTGTGTAGTGCACGGTGGAAAACCTATAGTGACACCCACTATTACTTTTGTCATTCTGATATTTAGTTCAACCAGGGGTTTCTGATAATTAAATAATGTTTTTTGAATTCACATTTGAAAAATTCATTTCTAACTTGACTATTCATAGCGTATCTTTTGTGCTGAGGAGGGTCTCTTGTGGACAGCATATATATGGGTTGTTTTCTTATCTATTCAGCTACCCTATATGTTTTGATTGGAGCTTATAATTTGTTCACATTTAAAGTGATTACTGATAGGTACACATTTATTACCATTTTATTCTTTATACCTACCCCCTCAATTTATTTTCCTTTTAAGGCCCTTTAACATTTCTTGCAATATTGGTTTGGTGGTAATAAACTTCTTTAGCTCATTTCTGTCTGGGAAGCTCTTTATTTTGCCTTCAATTTTAAATGATAGCCTTGCTATGAGTAAGTAGTCTTGGTTGTAGGTTCTTGCTTTTCATCACTTTGACTGTTTCATGCCAATCCCTTCTGGCCTGAAATGTTTCTATTGAGAAGTCACCTGATAGTCTTACAGGAAGTCCTTTGTAGGTAACTATCATTCTCTTGCTGCTCTTAAGATTCTCTCTTTACCTTTAACCTTTGAAATTTTAATTATGATGTGTCTTGGTGTGGGCCTCTTTGGATTCATCTTGTTTGGGACTCCCTGTGTTTCCTGGACTTATGTGCCTTTTTCCTTTAACTAGGTTAGGAAAATTTTCAGTCATTGTTTCCTCAAGTAGGTTCTCTATCCCTAACCCTCATTTACATATTTCAGAGGCACAAATGGAAGTCCAACAACCTAGATGCACACTTATGGCTGCTACTTTCCATTGTCATATATTCATGTGTTAGACCCAAAGAGGATATTTTTTCACTACAATGACTGTGAAAAGTGAAACAAGCGCCCAGCTGGTATGGCTCAGCAGTTGAGCATCAACCCAGGAACCAAAAGGTCATGGGTTTGATTCCCAGTTAAGGTACATGCCTGGGTTTTGGCCTTAATCCCCAGTAGGGGTTGTACAGTAGGCAGCCAATTGATGATTTTTCTCTCTCATCATTGATGTTTCTATCTCTCTGTCCCTCTCTCTTCTTCTCTCTTAAAAAAAAAACATATTTTTAAAAAGTAAAGCAAACATTCTTTTATTTGTGAATCTGTTAGAAGCGGGTTGGCTTGCATTCATAGTTGCAATTATTAAATCCATCCTACATAATGAAAGATTAACATCGAGATTTTTCCCCCCATGCAAATGTACTTCCTCATATATGTGTATATCTATGTATATACAGGGTGTCCCCAAAAATGTATATGCACTTTGAATAAATTATTAGTTCCAATGGGTTAAATCTGAAAAGAAAGAAACATCAATTGAACTATTAGCCATTAAGTGTGTATACATTTTTTGGGACACTCTGTATATCTGTAAGTTTCTTCTTGCCTTTCCATAGTTAGTGCATAAATCAATGTCATAGTATAGCCCAATACTACATCATACACAATAAATAACCAAGTGAACTGTCTTGGCGCCATCACTGAATAATGTGGTACTAACACTTAAGTATCTAACGTTGTTATATATTGTGTGAATAAGAATTCTTTCATCATCTTGAGCACTGGAAAACCATAAGAAATGGTTTTCTATGTCTGGTCACTTTATACTCTGCTGGAATTGAATTTAATGCAGTGAAGCTGGGTTTGGAGATTGTGTCTATTTTGAATTCTATTTACTTGCATCTTTAATAAGTTTCTTTCTGGTAGCATTAACAAGACCTCTTCATCATGAAAATCACAGAGAGTTCTTTGAAGTAACTGTGATGGTGCTGCATTTGTTTCTTTTCTGTATGTCATTTTAATCTATTCAGTGTTTTCCTTACTACCCCATCAATATCAACATAATGCTGATGTTTTCCTGTCACATCTTTAATGACTGTAATGGTATCCACATCCTAACTATTGTAGTTGTACATTGGGCAGTGAAGATTCTCCTCTCTTTTATTCCTACCTCTCTTAAAGGAATAGGAATGGTAACAAAAACCATTATGATGTAGCATTGGCTTTTTTTTTTTTTTTTTTTTTTTTTTTTTTTTTTTTTTTTTTTGTGAGTATCCTACTTCTGCCATATTCCTCCACGATTTTCAAGTAAAGATTTTCTATTGCCAAGTAAAAGAAGGGTTGCTGTTTTTCTTTTGTAGCCATCTGCCCAATGGTTGCTGGTTTATTGATAGGGGAAGCCTCTCTAATGTCTTGTGGATTTGACATCCAGTTGGGCAGGACTGGAGCAGCCAGTAGATGGAACCAGCCAATGGTGTGGTGGTCCCTGCCGACTGGCAGGTAAGTGTGGAAGGCACATCTACTAAAACCCTCTCCAATAATGTCCAGATGCTTCCTGCCTTTTATTGCAGTTTTCAAGGGAAACATCATCCATTAGCCCTGGGTGATGGGATAGTTATAGGGTGTTTAATAGATACCCGCAAACCCCCTCATTGTGGTTGTTACACCTGACTGCCACACCTGTTCTCACCCCTGACAAATAGGATGGTCTGTACAATGTTCACCGTCCCTTTTACTTGGCAGCTTGACCTAGCTCCTCCTTCCAAATTCCACCCTTATTGAATGACCCAGACATATCCCACCAAATGCAGTGACATATTAATATACCATGCATTGTGAGATCCCATCCTTGACTTGCTGTCCCCTATGCATTTCTCTAACTGTGGGATTCTTGCTATGTAGTATGCATAGCAATATGAGTCCTCCTCTTCTGCAGTATTTGAATCCACTCCTATCTACCGAACCCCATGTACCATTACCAGCTAGGCTACCAACATAAGAAGGGGTATTATTGGCAATACAGCCACAACTATTGGATTATTGTACGTACTAATAAAACACGATCGTATTTTTTTATTAGAGAAAGCGTGCGCGCACGAGCGAGCTGTTGTTACACCTTTTTACGCATTCACTGGTTGATTCTTGTTATGTGCCTTCATTGGGGATCGCACCCACAGCCTTGGTTATCAGGACAATGCTCCAAACAACTGAACTAACCAGCCAGGGCCATTGTGGCATTTTTAATGTACGAATTTTGTAAACCAAAAGCATTAACAAACATTATGAGCTGTTTGAACCCGGAGGGGTTTTCGACAGCGCCAAATCCCCAGGACCATTTGGAATGAACCAAATATGCTCACGAATGGTTTTGATGGGGACAGATTTCAAGGACCTTTCGGTGTGGACCACATGTCTCAGTGGACAGTGTGGACAGGACTGAAGGTCTGCTAATCTCCATCAAGGAGCAAAAGAATCGAGGTTCAGACCTGGTATGTTTGGCTCAAAGCCAATACTGTTCCATTTCTTCAAACAGCCCAAAGAAAAAGAAGTGAGCTAAGAGAACTGACTGCTTTTATACATTTGTTTTCTGAAATAAATGGAACTATTTCCTTGGTGATCTTACACATCATTCTTTAAATCTAGCTATGCTTTTGTTGGCCTTGTGCATTCTAAAGAGACATCCTTTCCAGTCTGAAATCTCCAAAGGATTTTCAGGGTAAAACACATTTCAAGATATGCAATCACATGGAAGAATGAAAATCTTTTATAATATTGTTTGCAAAAATGACAGCTCTACTTAACAGAAGCCATTAAAATATTTACAAAGTAGCAGCTGCTCTTGTAAAAAAAAAAATATGGCTTTTTGGAGGCATAAAAATAAACAAGTTGATAAGTACAAGATAAGCCATTTGTCGGCTTCTTTGTGTACATAGCACAATATATAAAAAAATCTGATATTTACAGAGCAATTATTATATAAAGCCTTTTTAAGTTAAAAGAACACAGACTCTGTGAGAACTGTTTACAAGAATTCTTCATACTGATCTTTTAAACAATTTAGGAATCCCACAAACATAATTTTTTAAAGAGATATTAGGTTTTAGATGTGTTTTTAAAAAATAAGTTTTGTTCTTAAAAATAATTTTACATTCTATATATGTATGTATGAAATTCTCTCCCTATTCGCATTCTTCATTGAACTAGAATTTCATCCAATGGTCTTATGAAAATAATTACAAAAAAAAATCATAGGAAGCAGATCAAGAAAACCGAAATGGTTAAAAGTAACTGAACATTTGCATTTTTATTACCAATCTGACATTTTGTAGGTAAACTGAGTGGCTGACTTTGTCTTTTTAAAAACAATTTTAAAAAAGCAAACAATTATTAAAAATCAGTATTGTAATTTTTATTAGTTTTCTCAAAAGAGAGCAATGATGTGCAATTATTACAACCCTAGATTATTTATGAAGAAAGTGAAAAATATAAGAAAGTGGCTTTTGGCAAAATCTTGACAGTTACATGGAAGAGTGACTTTGGACATGTTTCCTTTGATATGAGCTTGTTCATTTTATTTAATGACTTCTACTTGTAAGAGAATTATATGGGAAGAAAAATCTTCTGGTAATGGTTTCTAAATCTGTGGTATACTATTAATAGCTTGAGAAAACTACACATGAATTTCATTATTAAAATTTCAATTTTATTCCAAACCTTTAAAAATATTTTGAGTCTATTTACCCTCCTTTCAAGTTCATTTTTTCTTCTACCTCCAAAAACAAGATCTTCCATGCTATACTTAAGGAAAATAATATTTTTCTATCTTTTAGAAACTGAAAAAGACATGAGATTATTATGGTAATGGGGGAAAATGTTGGGATGCTCAATTGTCAACAGCATGTCAAAAGTAAGCAAGAACAGGAGGAAAAAAGCCAAATGGTTAAGAGGTCAGCATGAGCAACTTTCAGGGTTAACGTTAAGGAGTTCACACTGCTAGTCTTAGTCATTTCAA